GCCCCGGAGTATTCGAGAAAACAAGGCAACTGGTCTGGTTTGGAAACCAGTAGGAAGGTCTTTTCTTGCCTCAGTGATGGCCTTTCAGGGATCATGAAGTCAAGAAAATGACCAAGGCTTAGGTCTGGGAGGAAAAAAAAAAAATCCTTTTCCTGTTGTAACATTCCACATTCCCACCCCCAGCTCACCACCCCTTCCTCCTCCACAGAACAGCTCACTCCCTAGGACAAGTTATTGTCAGAATTACCGTCAGGGAAGATAAGGGAAACCAAACTGACCATGTGAACTTCCGGGAGCCTTTTGTCCTCAGAGGGCAAGCTAGTGCTCTGTGGGGCCTCTTGGCATCTTCTAGCACCTCCACCAGCCACAGATCCACTGATGACTGACCTGATCCAGTAAGGCTCTCCTTCCATGTTGACACCAGGGTTATGGCTCTGGCCTTCCTCAGGCTGGGCATCAATAGGTAAGATGCAAGTTTTCTTTGGCCATCTCCAGGAGGATTATTTAGTCAATTGCTGCCTGACAACTTCCTCTAGAATTCAGCGTCTTAGAACAACAAGTTATCATCTTCCAGTTTCTGTGGGCCAGGAGGGCAGGAGCAGCCCCATAGGACAGCTCTGGCTCAGGAGGTTGGAGGAAGCTGGTGGCCAGGGCTGTGGTCACCTCGGACTGGAGGATACCCTTCCAAGCTTGTTCAAATGGTTTTGGCTGTCCTCTGTTCCTGGGTACTTCGGCTCCTCCCCAGACAGGTGAGGGCTCCACAGGCTACCTGAGTGTTACATCATGGCAGCCGGATTCCTCAGTGTGAGCGATGAAGGAGAGAGAGCCAGCGCCCAAGATGAAAGCCACAGTCTTTTTGTAGCCCAATCTCAAAAGAGTGACATGCCTTCACCCACCCCCCATATGCTATTTGCTAGAGCAAGCCTGTCTGTCCAGCCCACGCTGAAGGGAAAGGGGGTTCATCTCCATCTCTTGAAGGGAAGAGATTCACGAAGAATTTGTGGGTGTATTTTAAAAACCACCCATGGACCCTATTCAATCTCCAAGAGGTGTGAAGAGCATACATTTGAGATTCATAAAGACCTGGGGTTTCATCCTGGCCCCCACATGTACCACTTATGCAGGTGTAGATGAATTATTCCTCTTTCTAGATCTCAATTTCCTAATCTATGAGATAGGGGTAGGAATAGTAGATGTTTCATTGGGTCACTATGAAAATGAAATAAGGTCATACATGGAAAGTGCCTGGCACAGAGTAAGTGCTGAATAAATATTACTTGGTTGCTATCGTAACTGGTTACTATTATTGTCCTTCACAAGAAGCAGAGTAACGTGGGATTTAGGGACACAGGTGGAGTCAGACTGCCTGCGTGGGGCCTCGCTCTGCCAGTCCTGGGTTGTGAGAACTAAGACGAGTCACTTAATGTCTCTTGGCCTTGTTTTTCTGTAAAATGAAGATAATAGTGGGTAGCTCCAGGCTACTGAATAGGTGTTCAATTAATATTTTATAAATAAGGAGATAGTGGATGATAGAGGGATATAATGGCAAAGGGGTGTGTGTGTGTTGGGATGCTATACAAAGCACATTTGGCTTCAAACACCTTCTGTCAAGTGAGGGTCTGGTGTGGCTATCAGGTTCCCCATGAGTGTGCCCTTGTATCCTTGAGCATGTCACCCTCAATGAACTTTCAGCTTCATCACCCCTTACAGGGTTGTTCTTGGTCTCATTGTTCAGCTGCTTTCCACCCTGGCTTTGTTCAACCATACTTCCTCCATCATCCCTGCTGCCTCCTCCAAGAATATGTTTAATTGGCTTTGCACGAGTCTGGAGATTCAGTGACGGGGTGGGGGGGTGGGGGGTGTCCCATGTCACACCACCTCAGAGCTGCTACATTACCTTAAATTGATTTTGCAAATGAAAGCTAAAAGCTAAGCAAAGGCGACCCATCCATTTTGCCTAAAGATGATTATAATGCTCTTTTACGGCCTCCTAAATGACAAAGCAATTTGTTACCTGCCTGCATCAACATTTGCTTATATTAACACCCGAGATGCTTGATTTTTATTAGCCCCATGTTATCATTTTATGAAGATGCAGGGGCTCAGTAAAATTAGTGTACAAATAGAATGCCCATTTTGCATTTCTCTGTGGTCAGCAGAAATGCTGAATGCAATTGAGTTGATACCGGGTCAGGGGAGACATCCATAAAGGTAGCGTTCACCGAGGGCCTTGGTAATGCTATTTATCATTTCTGGACTGCTGGGATAGATGGGGTCAGTGTTAGTGGTTTTTTTTAAAGGGCTTGGTGGCATTTCATTTTTTGTTTTGTAAGTGAAAAAATAATATAAATACAAAGGCAGTAGCTCAACTTCCACCGGCAAAAAGGGATGGAACCAATCTCTCTCATGTACGTTGTAGGTGGAAATGCAGCGGACACGGGATCTGATATTGTTGCTAGTCGATCCAGGAGGAGAAATGCTAGTGAGAGGGTCCTAGGCAGGGAGACAGGTGACCTTGGGCATGTCCCTTCCTTTTGTGAACCTCAGTCCCTTCACCTATAAAATGGGGTTAATACTGTCCACTTCACAGAGGTATGATGACGATTAACTAAGACAAGCCATGATCTATACGAGTATTTTTAATTCGATAGCCAATTCCTGAGTGCTATTCCGCACAGTGTCCTGGGAATGGTGTTAAAAATAACCATGAAGGGCGCCTGGGTGGCTCAGTTGGTTAAGCGACTGCCTGCAGCTCAGGTCATGATCCTGGAGTCCCGGGATCGGGTCCCACATCGGGCTCCCTGCTCAGCGGGGAGTCTGCTTCTCCCTCTGACCTTCTTCCCTCTCGTGCTCTCTATCTCTCATTCTCTCTCTCTCAAATAAATAAAATCTTCAAAAAAACTAAACTAAAATAAAATAAAATAACCATGAAAATTGCAGCTTCTTCCTGGAGGAGCTTATATTCAGTCTAGGAAATATTCAGGTGTCTAACTCCTCTTTTAAACCATAAACTTCTCTCTCCCTTTGTTCCTAAAGGTGCCTAGCACAGAGCTGAGCACAGGGTGAGTTCTCAAGAATGTATTTTGGGGAGAAAAAAAAAAGGAATGAATTTTGGCTCCACTGTATTTCTCGCTGCCTCTCAGACGCCTAGTATTAGGGAAGCAGTAACCTCAGTAATGGTCATCCCAATAGACCAAGCAAGTCCCAAGCCATTAGAATCAGACTTAATAAAGTTAATACATATATATTTTTTTAATTTTATTTTTTTATTTATTTTTTTAAAGATTTTATTTATTTATTTGACAGAGAGAAACACAGCGAGAGAGGGAACACAAGCAGGGGGAATGGCAGAGGGAGAAGCAGGCTTCCCGCTGAGCAGGGAGCCCGATGCAGGGCTCGATCCCAGGACCCTGGGATCATGACCTGAGCCAAAGGCAGACGCTTAACGACTGAGCCACTCGGGCGCCCTATATATATTTTATTTTAGTCTCTGACATTGGTGCATCGACTGTTGAGATCATAAACTCATTCAAAATAACCTGTCCCTATCATTTCAGAGGTAAAAACCCTGTTAATTATTTCTACCTCCCCTCTCCCTCCAGATCATCCTCCAACATAGATGGTATTATTCTTTAACCCAACTTCTCTCAATGTTGACTTCTGAAATTGCTTCCAGTCATGGTTCTGTTCTGGGTTGATCTGGCCTTCCTCTGCCAGGGACTAAGTACCCTCCTGCCCCTTCCTTCTGGGAATGTCACTCTTGGCCACTGCTTTTGTCTAATAATCTCTTTGCACAATAGCTAAACTTTATTATACGAATGAGACTTCTGTAGAAGTAGCAAGAGCTTGGGCTCTGATTTTGGATCATATTTTCCTACTTTGCATGTCTAATGATTCTTATTGGATGCTGGAGATTGTGAATTGTACATTGTTGAGTGTCTGGATTTTATTATCTTTCCTTAAAGAGAGTTGCACTTTATATGGCAGGCAGTTGTTTCTTCTGTCCAGTTTGAAACTTCTGTGATTTTAAAATTTTGTTAGAATGAGTCTAGAGTAGTTTAGCCCCACCACCAAGACACGGCCCTTCTAGGTTCTCTCCTGAATGCCCTGAGTGATCAGTGAGGACTACCACTTCGGTGGTGGAAATTCAAATGACTCTTAGCCCTGTGTGAGCCCTGACAGCCATGCGGTTCACAGCTCCCTGGTCATTTTTGCACCACATCGTGGAGATTCACCCTCTGTGTGCACATCTTGGGACCCACAAACACACTTGAGGACTCCTTGACAGATTTCTGGCATTCTTTTTCCACAGACCTCTGTTGTCTCTGGAATGTGCAGTTTCCCCCCAGCTACCACCTGCTTCAGACTCTCTGAAGTTTAATCTCAGTGAGATTTCCATGGTCTGCTCAGGATACCCCTCTCTGCTCTTTGGTCTGGAATGGGCCTCTAGGCAAAGAGCCAGGGCAATCAGAGGGCATACTTTTTCCATGCGTTAGTCTTGCACTGCCTCTTGTCTGAAAACAGTTGTTTTGTCTGTTTGTCCGATTTTTTAGTTGGCTTAAGTTGAAAGAGAAATCTGGTCCCTGTTACTTCATCAAGGTCAAACAAGGGCTTGAGTTCTGATCTCAGCTCGACCCACACCTGTTAGCTGTGTGACAAGTTATGTAACCTCTCTGAGCATCAGTTTCTGCCTCTATAAAAGGAATATTAACTGTGCACGTTTCTGTAGAACTCTAAGTAATGTATATAATGTGCCTGACACAAAAGGCCCTAATTAAATGGCAGTGCTACTATGACTAATAGAAACAGCTACTTTCTTTACTCCATTATTTACTGAGTGTTTACTGTGTACTAAGCAATGTGTAAGCTTGTTTCATCACTAATACTCTCCACGTATATACACGTGGATTCGATTTGATTAGCAAATCAAAACTCAGAAAGCATACACAACTTGCCTTGGGTCACAATCAGTGAGTCTGGAATTTGGCTTCACTCACAGGATGTCCACAGATGGTAATATTAACGTGATCAATTGCATCAATAGGAATGTAGTCTTTTAATATTGGGTAGTCAGGGACATAATTTCATTAGTCACCAATGGCTGGGCCTTAATGATTCTAATCCATTGATTTAAGAATTGAATGTAAAGCGCCCAGTCCCTTCCCTGTCCTTCTCTCCCACATACCAACTCCCAGTCTCAGCTTTTCCTGACCTCCTGAACAACCTCCTTCCATTTTCTTTTACAGACAACCTTCGGGAAGGAGCAGAGCAGAAGGTAGTATTCATCACGGGACGAGTCCACCCAGGGGAAACACCCTCTTCATTTGTGTGCCAAGGTGAGTTGCAAAATCTTATGGGCATCCTGTGCCTTCCCCCCACATCCAACTGGGGCACCGTCATGGCCTCTGGGACAGTGTGGTCACATGCAGAGTCATTATCTCAGATGCGAATTTACTTCATTTCTAAAGAGGTTACACCGATCTCCATTAGTATTTCTTTCAATAAATGTTTACTAACTACATGTATTAGTGGAAGAATGAATAGATGATGGATGGATGGATGGATGGATGGATGGATGGATGGATGGATGGATAGGGCTGAACGGAGTTCTCTCATATGTGTCATGTTGAGGATAAGCCATATGGCATCACCTACACTCCCTAGCCTGGTTTTCTTGTCTCCAGGAGTTTACAAAAGTAAGAAATCTGGCCCCAGGCCAATATGTATGTTGGTAGGAGTGCAGTAAAGTGGGGAGATAAGAATTAGAAGGTATCTATTCACTCATTTATTCAGTCTTTCACTTAATAAACAACTTTAGAAATACCTCCTATGAGCAAGGAAACATGCTTTGCATCAGACAACCAGGGGTAAATAAGACATAATTTTTCGTCTCAAATATACCTCTTTATAATTGCATTTTCATTTATTATTAAATATTTAGTCCACAAAAAATATATATTTAGTCAACAATATATATACATGCATACATATATATATTCAATTAGAGAGCCATATGAGCATATTCAATGAATAATACATAAATCAGAATTTAATGAATGCCCGGGTACTCACCAGCTTCAGAAGCAGGATATTATCTATTCCTTTTAAATCCTTTGTCCTCCCTTCTACCCTCCTTCTCCCACAGATAGCAATAAGTTTGTATTTTGTCACCTTTCTCAATAGTTTTACTATTCACATAAACATTCCTAAACAGTGTAGGCTTTCATTTCACATGTTTTTGAACTTTTTATAAAATTAAAAAACCATATCACTCTGTGTGCCTTGGCATTTGTTTTCTCCCAATATCCGTGGTGGTGAGTGTGGCTGTAGTTCACTTCTTTTCACCAGGTGCTCCATTCCATGTCTGTTGGGTGCCTCAGCTCACCTGTCTGTTCTCCTGGACAATTCAGTTGTTTCCAGTGTTTTTTCCTACAAACAATGCTGATACAGATGTCCTTATGTATGTTGCCTTGTGCCTACGTGCAAATGCTTTTCCAGGGTATAGAGCCACGGAAGGCTGTTGACAGGTCACGGGATATATGCATCCTCAACTCTACTAGATATCTCCAGGTTTCTCTCCGAGACCTTTATACCGCCACCAGCAATGCATGAGCGTTCTACTGTCCCGCATTCTCACCAATACGCTTGCATTTTTACCTATCCAGTGGGCATATCATATATAAAATGTGGTACTACCTATGTGCCAAGCACGGTTCTAAGCACTTTACGTATTTTATTTTATTTTTATTATTTATTTCATTAATGTAATTTATTTTAATTATATTAATTTTTCTATGTCATAGGAATTAATATTAACTATATTCTTACATATAATTATGTAAGTTTGGAGAAGTTAAGTAATTTATCTCCTTTTAGTCTCAAAATGACCTTCAAGTCAAAGGAATATTAAAAAAAAAACCCATAGAAATGATATAACTTGAGGGAGACAGCAGACTGCTGGGGAAGTATCTGGAGTTTTCCATCAGGCTGTCTTGGGGTCAAACGTTGGCTCTGCCAGTTCCTAGCGTGTGATTTCAGTTTCCTTCAATGTAAAATAAATTAGGATATCAATACCTATTTGCAAAGGCTGCCGTGAAGCTGGGGTAAGATGCATGCAAACACCCACCCAGTCCTGTGCCGGGCACTCCGCCGACACCCACAACAGACATTGCCCCCTTCCCCACGGCGCTCTGAAACGATGCTGCAGGTAACCTGCTTTGTAAACACTAAGGTACTATTGCGAATAGATGTGAGTCTTCTTTTCCCATTCGTATTCAAACAGCGCTGTGATTAGACAGAACTGCCTCCCCCCTTCTTCCAGACCAGGAGCCTGGGTTTCAGGGACAGTGAGGACTGCCCAAAGCTGAGCCGCTCTGAAGAGGCTGGGTGTCTCACCTCCCAGCTGCAGTCACCCCAGCTCACTCCTTGGCCTTCTCACTTCCACCCTCCTTCCTCCCAGCACTATCCTTGCAGTAACCTCTCCCAGGTCCCTCCTGGTTTTACCAACCCCTCTACTTGCAGCCATCTGTCAGTTACTGAACTTGGCAGCAGACCTGTTCCCCCAGCTGATCAGATGCAACTCTTTTGTCCTTGTTTGTAAAAAGACAGTAGCCTTACTGTCAAAACTTGCAGCTCTGGGAGCCCAAACTCCCAGGCCCACCTCCTCCATGGGCAGCAGACAGAGGGCAGGGTCACCATCCCACATTACAGACAAGGCCTGAGACCTAGAAAAGTTGAGTTCAGCTCAGGTGTTTCTCTGTTGAGCCTGCTTTGCCAAAAAGGGATCTGGTTGGTGCCAAGTTGGTAGACTCCGTGCTGTCCCACAGGCTTTCCATCAATGTTTACTCCTTGGCAGGGCCTTTTAAGCCTTCCCTCTACCTTCTCAATATAAACTCCAACTCCTTGCCATGACATTCACAACCCTCCACCATCTGGCTCTTGCCAGGTTCCCTGGCCCAAGCCTCATTATATCCCCGCCCCATACAACTTAACCCTGAATGGACAACCTTCTTCCCACCACCGGGCCTTTGCATCTGGGGCCCCTCTGCCCACCCCTTGCCACTTGGCAAACACCTCCTATCTCCCACCGTTCATTTCAAGCACCCCCTGTAGGCCCCTGTCCCACACCCTTCAGCCTCTGCTTTGCGCCTGCACTGTGGTTACCCGCTGGTCATCTTTATCACCCTGATTTGTTACACATTTGATTTATATTTGTTTCTTCCCTTTAAACCATAAGCTATTTGAGGCCTAGGGCTGGATCTTTGAGTATCATTTTCTACATCTGGAAAATGGGGACTATCTTGTTTGTCCCATTGGGCTATTGTGAGGGATGAATGGCCGCTTTGGTTCTGGGATTCTAAATCTGAGCTCAGAAATAGGAGACTTAAGGTCACACAGCCAGTAAACAGCAGAAGGGGACTTTGAGTCTGGGTCTCCCAAGCCTGTACATGATCTTTTGCCTCACTCAGGGATGGGAAGTGCTAGAAGGCCAAGCTTGGTGCACTCTGGGCACCCCACAACAGTTGCTGTGCATTCCCAAGTGAGAATGGGGAGGCTCGGGGAAGTGAAGTAGCTTACCCAGGATCACACAGTGAGTTCATGGCAGATGTGGCCTGGGCCCCATCTCTTCAATCCTGGTCTTCCTCCTTCCCTATCTCTGTAACCGTCCCTGGAGACACAATTTGTCCTTTCTTGAGGCAGCTTAAGACACCATCATTCCCCCACTTCGCCAATGAGAGACTGAGGCACCGTCTTTCCCAAGTGTCTCTTGGCCCCCAGGAGACAGGCCAGACCACAGCCCCACAGGGCCTGGCTGCATTCCCTTCCCAGCCCACGTTGTGCTGGGGAGGGCAGCAGAGTCCAAGGCTTGGAAGGATGGCTGAGATACCTTCAGCTCAGTTCATGCTTCTTCCACATTCACTGGCTCAGTGACCTTGAGCAGGGAGCAGACATGTGGGGCCCGGTCCTCCCCATCTGGCTGGGAGCACAGTCTTCACAGCCGAGCAGCTGATGCACCTGCTGCTGGGAGCAGAGTGAAAGAAACACTGTCATCACAGAACTCTGGAGGGGCGGCAGTAAAGGTGGCAAGGCTTCGATCTCCTCAAGGCTCCTCTTGGCGGTCGGATGGCTGATTCTTAGTTACCCCTCGGCTGCCCCCAACCCCACTCATGGCCTCTGTGAGGCCAAACTATCCTCATTCTCCAGCCGTGACATGAAAGATCCAAGGACCTCAAGAACCACGCTGTAGCAGGGTGTGTGTCAGCACGGTCTCTGGAGCTATCCTGCCTGGAATTGGATCCCAGCTGTTCCGCGTAGGACAGTATGACCCTGGGGACATTCCATAGTCTCTCTGTGCCTCAGTTCCTTTGTCTTGAAAGGGAAATAACAATAGGAACCCTGCATCATAGGGTCGTTGTAAAGATTAATGAGTTCATAGCCATAAAACATTTAGGACAGTGTCTGGAATACGGCAATAAGCACTAAAGAAGGGGAGCACCTTGCAGGCACCTGGTGTGGTTCCTCTGACCCCCGCAGGGCTCCCAAACCCAGGTGTGTAGCTTCTGTGCTGTGTGCCCCCGCCCACCTCCTTCCTTGCTATTTTCCTGAGGGAGCTGTTAGCGGAGCCCTCCTCATTTCTGCACCAGGAAGACCGGATTGCAAGTCAGAGGTTTGGCCAGGACTGGACCTCAGGTGTCTGATTTCTGGTCGAGTGAATGTTCTTTCACTGAAGCTTCCTGGGATTGTTGGGACAACTCTCACCAAAAAGTGCCATTGGCAGAACACTTGTCCTCTGAGGAGCCTTCATAACTGAATCAATCAAACCCATATTTATGCATGCCAGTATGGGCGAGGCACACCACCCTTTGGAGGGCAGCACGGGGAAGTGGGCAGAGCCAAGGCCTTGGACTTGGGCAGGCCTGAGTGTAAGTCCTACCACCTCCACCTCCTGGCCTCAACCTTTGGCAAGTTCCCACCTCTTGGAGCCTCTGTTTCTTTACCTGCAAAATGGGGGCAGCAATATGGTCCTCAAGGGGATGCTATGAGGATTAAGTGAGCCTTGCTGCCATGGGCCATGGAGCCCTCCAGGGCTCAGACTATGGAGCTCACTCCTCGGGGTTACCCTGGAGTGATAAGAGAAGGAGAGGGGAGAGACACACACGCCTACACACACACATACACACACCATGCACTCACAGCCAACGGGACCAAGCACAACCTAATGTTTCCTACAGTGAAGTGGTGACATTTGATCCTTTCTCCCTCCCCTCCCCCACTGTCTTCCTCCCACCTCTATCCTTCCCCTAGTCTCCCTCTTCTCCTCTCTCTCTCTCTCTCTCTATCCCTTACAGCCTCACATTATAAGTGCAACACCAGACCCACTAGGGTGGGGGTGAGGGGTCACGGGCTTTTCACTTCCCTGAGCTTCTTTCATCTGTGAAATGGGCAGGGTTGGGGGTGGCAGGGTAAGAACCAAGACTGTGAGCCTCAGGTTCTTCAGGGCCAGACTCCCTGTGACTCCATAATTGGAGGCCCTTGGACTCAGCTCAGGGCAGACAGGGACCTGGTCAGGGGAAGGCCTGGAGTGGCTGCTTTCATGTGACCCACACTCTGGGTCCTGCAGAGACCCCCAGCTGTCTCACTTGAAGCCTGAGCTCCTCCCACTGCAACATATTGCCTCTTAGAGGCAACAACAATAAACCTTACACAGAACTCTCTAGAGAGAAAATCCTGCAGGCATATATGCAAATCATTCTACAAATCACATGCAAATAGACTCCTGACTCTTCCATATTGCCTTAATGGAAAGGGCACCACTTTGAAGCCAGTAGAACTGGATCAGAATCCCATCTGGGCCCCTGTGAGACGTTCAGCAAATGAAGTCAGCACCCTTTGTTTTTCTACCTGTACATGGAGCCAAGGGAACTACAGGTCAACCCAGCTAAAGAACATACAGTGCACATCATGGGTCTGTCTTTATCCATTCATGTCACACATATCTACTGAGGATGTTCCCTGCGCCCGGCACTGAGCTACATGCTGGCAAGATAGTGGCCAAGAGGTAGACCTGTCCTTGCCTTCCTGGAGCTCACAGTCTGGAGGGAAAGAAAGACTTGAACAGCAGATGCAAGGGCCAATCCCCAAACCCCTAGGGCACAGGAAATGTAACTTTCCCGACTTCTCTGTAACTGAACTTACTTCCCATTTTGAGGTCCCATTCTGCCAGGGAACCAAAACTTAATCTCCACCATTTGGGGATCAGCTTTCCCCAGGATTGTGTAATGTCAGCGAAGAATGGTGATGCTCTTGGGGATGGTAGACAAATAATGTCATCATCCATATCGCCATCTATCCACACTGCTTCCCCTGCACCTGCCACATCCTCGAGACTTTCTGGGCCTTGGTCACTGCAGGTCAGCACCATGTCAGGCCCTGGTTCCTGACGGCAAGACTCTATGTTCGCTGGTTCTCTGCTAGGTCTGCCCCCGACCTCCACCCTGTCCACCTTCAGGACTCCAAGCCCTCTGCTTGTCCTTCCTCCCAAACCACATTCCATGCTGCAGTGGGGAAGCCCAGGTCTGCCCCTGTACTTGGCAGTGGTCTCCTGTGCCCTTCATATCCTTCAGCTGGACTGGCAAGTCCCCGTTTACCTCTTCCCTTTCTCTCTCAACATCCTCTCATCCCTGCACCTTCAGCCAAACCAAATGGGAGCAAAGATTCAGACAACACACACGTCCATTTCCTACGTGCCAGACACTTTGCTTCCACTAACTTAGGGAGATCCTCACAACAACCTCCATGGCAATTTTCTTCTTTCCTTCTTAACTGATGCGGAACTGAGCACCTGAGAGGTTAGGCCACACAGCTATTCAAACCCAGTTAGTCCAGTTTCAGAGTCTGTGCCTTTAATCACGAAGCTATGCCCTAAATTGAAGAGCTCTTCATTGGCAGATGGGCCTCCTTCTCCCTCACCTTACAGCCTTTGTGTAGGATTCCCCGGAACGCCTTCTCCTGGCACCCCTTCATCTGGCTCACTCTACTCATCCTTTACAACTCCATTCTCCACAGCCCCTTCCCAGGCGCTCTGGGTTCTCAGGGCTCCCCGGCTGTTCCCACCTGAGCCCATCACTACAATGGGAGTTGCTTTCTCACTGTGCATATTCTAGGGCAGAAACCCCTTCTGTATCTTGCAGTGCCAGGCTTATGGCGCGGACCTGGCCCTGTGAATGTTTATGGAATGAGTGATTTTCAGTTCAGCTAACCCTATACTCGGTCAAAGGCAAATGAATGCCCGGGGCCAGTCTACCAATGGGCATTTATTAAGCACCCACCGTGTACCCTGCCCTGAACCAAGTACACTAGAAGAAATAACTATGAATAGCTATTTGGGGTTGCGTGGTGAGGTTCCTCCTAACCAGGCCAAGGTCAGCCCAGGGCAACGATCTCTGTGGCCCGGCTATAATTTCTGATCATCTACCACTTTTCCTTCCTCTCCCCCAGCCTCTCAAGCCTCCAGTCTTCCCATTGTCCTGCTTTCTTCCACCTTCCTGATTAAATCAATTCAAAAGAAAGGACCCAGCAAACTTGTTTACCAAAGAACAGAGACTGATCTAGGGAGGTTGATTGTGTCTCCCTACAGGAGGGAGATTATTCTCCTCACTTGATAGATGAGGATCCTTCTGCTCTGGGGGAGAGGAATGAAAGGGTGGAATCCCAGACTGCCAGTGTGGGATGTGTCCTTGGGAATTACTGACTTCTTTCTTCTAACTTTAAAGATGAGTGTAGGCTGGAGTCTTTCTAAAGCGCACACGGTAACTGAGCCACAACAAAAACCCAAGTTCTCAGACGGCTGGTTTGTTGGCTTCTTCAATTCAGCATCCTTGTTCCCAAGTCTCATTGCTAGCAAACCTCGCAGACCAGGACCCCCAGTTCCAAATTCCATTCTGCTTTTTCTATCCTCAATGCCTCTCAATCTTCGATCTCAGTGAGTTGATTAAAGCACATGACCTTTTCCAGGTGCTGTGGCAGGCAGTTCAAGTACAGGTGTTCTAACCCCAGTCACATGGCAGTCTTCCAGACTGGGTATTATTACTCCTGTATCAAGATGAGGAAACTGGGCAGAGAAAGCTAGTAGCTTCTCCAGCTAATAACCAGTTAGGGTCCGAATGTAGGTGCCCAAGTCCTTCTGCTTCCTCAGTCCATGCGATGCTTTTGGCCTTTGACCAGGGGCGGCATTTCCTCTCCACTCTTGCTTTCTCCAACATTTCTCCTCATATTCCTCTGCACTTGCCACCCCCCCACATACACTCACAAAAGCAAAGGCTCTCCTCCCAATTTCCTGATCGAGGGGAATGATTCCTGTTCAACTGTATCTGACCTCCAGCTGAGAGATGAGTCTAAAACCTCTCCTCTCCTTGCCCCACACTCACTATGGGAGAGGGAGCTCTGGATGGCTGCAGCTTCTGTCCTGGCTTTGTCTTCTCTCATCCTTTTATTAGCTGCCTAATTGGCAGCCCAATTAATCTGCTCATCTGTGAAGGAGGATGGATCACAATGAGCTACTCCATTTCCAGAAGCCATTCTCTGTCATTCTCTGAGGCAGCGTGGCCAGGCCCTGAGCGCAGGCTGGTTCCTTGATGGAGGGCTGCTCCGGGAGCTGGGGTCAATTAGTGGACAGATTAAGCAATTATTAGCCCCTAACAAGGGCACCTGGCATCATTACCCTGACTGTTTACTGGCAAACTGCAGCTTTAATATGAAGACCAACAAATAAATTAGGGCATCTGGTCTACTGCCGTGTTGGTCGAGAAGTAGATGATGTCCAACTGGCTTTCGGCTGCCAATGGATTCTGAGCCCTGGCCTAATGAAAAGCCTGAGATGTCCCTCACTGGTCACAGCAGCTTTGGGATGTACTGTGGAGCCATTTATCATTCCAGAAGCTAAGTGCTGCCACTGGCCCATGGATTGTTCGTAGTCAACCTGCTGCTTCCTCCTGTCTGTCTGTCAAAACATGCTTATCTTCCAGGGCCCAGCTCAAAAGCTTCTTTCTCCTTGATGCCTTTCCTTCTCTCCCCAGCAGGAAAGGAGTTCCCTTCTACACTCTGGGAGGGTTGTGCATCCTCCTACCGCTTTCCAGCATTACAGTTATTTCATGGAATGCCAGAGCTCCATTTTGCCTATTGTTTTCCAGGTCTCTGAAGAAGGACTAGAAATGTGGAGAAGGAAAGGGAAGGGTGAGGACTTGGGTTGTTTGTTTCCTCACCCCCGCTCCTGTCAAGGTATGCAGTCTATCACCAGAAGGAAGCCAACGAGGGCAGGCTCAGATTTGCACTTTAGGAAGATGACTTTGGCTGCACCGATGAGGACACGTTCCAAAAGTGGTCGCAGTCATTCAGTCCAGATGTGGTGGTGGCCTAGAATAGATGTGCAGCAAAGGGATGGAGATACAGGGCAGATCTGCTAGATTCAAGGAAGAGATCTGGGGACTGACTGCCTGATTGTGGGAGGAGAATCGTGGAGAATTCAGCTTTTCTAAATTTGGTGACCTGGAGGCAATTGTTGGTGCCAGGGAGAAGCAGCAAGGACAGCCAGACCCAGAGTCTGCGAACAGCGGGTCCGCAAAGTGGGGAAAGGGGCAGAGTTGGGACATCAAAGAAACCTCCCTCTCCTCATGTGACTTTAACCAAATTCCTCCTCCTCTCTGTCTTCTGGTGTGACCACCAACAACAGGAAGGTTTAGATCCCTGAGTCCCTGACCCCATAATTGTCCAATCCAATGTCAACACTTAGACGTTAGAGAATATCTCTTAATTCATTGTTCGGAGTTATCCTGCCTCTCCCCCATCTCTGTCTGTCAAAATCCGGGCCCTCCAAGGCACAGCTCAAATGCTCTTTTCTTAGACGCCTGCGGGGTGCTTTGCAGCAGGACACATGCTCTTTCATCTGCCCATGGGCTTCAACATTATGTCTTGAACTGTCTCTTGGAAACAGAGATATAGTTGTAAAATTCACCAGGCAACACCTAATCCATAACCATATACCCACAGTGGTTGACAACATAGGCCAAAAATCGCCTTTGGAGCTCTTACTGCTTCCAAGCTGAAGAAAATGTGCTCCCTCCTTCTTGAAACACTTTGAGGTTAACCCAGATTCTTCTCCTTCCCTAGGGATCATTGACTTCCTCATAAGCCAGCACCCTATTGCCCGTGTCCTACGGGAACACCTGGTCTTCAAGATTGCACCAATGCTCAACCCTGATGGAGTCTACCTGGGCAATTACAGGTGAGGGGCGGGGAAGAATGCTTGGAAGCTGGGATGGTGGGATGGAAGCAAGGAGAAAAAGGGGATATATTTTTGAGAAAGAATTTTCATCTTACCCATGAGTTCATTAGAGGAAGTTTCACCCTGGTTTTTGAGAATGTGGCTAATGATCCTTGGATGTTTCATGCATAGCCACCTGAGGTAACTTACTGGGATTTTCTGATCAGCTTGCTGGGCCAGGAATCAGGAGAGCTAGAATCATTTTGGACACTCACTTCCATGTAACCTTGGGGAATTCACTTTCCAGCTACTGGAAAGGGTACAGCTCAGATCAGAACCCAGATTGTTCAATACCTGGCCAGGTCCCTTTTAAATGGTTTCGAGAAACTGAGCATCAGTTTCCTAATGAAGGCAATGATCACATACCTGACAGGGCACTGGTGAGAATCAAAAGAAATGGTGGAGACAAATGTGCTTTGCAGAATATCCTATGGGGGTGATAGCAATGACTATTTTGATTCTGTGTTTCTTTTTGGAAAACATTAATGAAGGAGAGTGGCATCCCGGGTCATCTGAGCAGCATTTCTCTCTGATGTGGGCATACAAGTTCGCCTCACATGCACTCATGCTCTCAGACCTTGAACTCTCTTTCTTCTGGCCGAGCACCATAATTTATAGTCTAAAATTTCACTGCCCAGTGGATCATCTGCCAATAGAACATTGAATCCTCTGAGATAGTGTGATTACTCTTACTTGACAGTTGAGGCAACAGACTCACCCAAAGTCACACAGCCAGTGAAACACTGACTAGTTGTCTAATTTCACTGTGCACATTACATATCTTTAGAGCAGATTAGTCCCACAACTTGCAAAGTAACATTCAGCCTTGCAGCTTTTGCATGAGAGGCTCTGTCTGACCTGGTACCTATCTGTCCACCATTCTGCCTCACCTCCCACCCTCCACTCTAATAGCCACTCTAAGCAAAGCCTAGTTCCCTAGACATGTCCTGTTGGTCCCTGATTCCTAACCTTCCTCAAGGCTGCCCTCTGCCCAGAATCCGCTATCCCTTCCTTATCTTATTAACCCTTCTTCATACCACAGCTCATGTCTCCTGTTCTGGAAAGCATACCCCAAACCCCCAAACAGAATTAGTTACTTCCTCCTCTAAGCACCCACAGGCCTGGTTATTGAACAAGACTTACCCCATTGCATGGACTCCACTGGCCTTCAAGCCAGCAGAGAGCAGGGACTGAGACTTCATGGTCCTTGTGTCCATGGTGCCTGGCAGCAGGGATCAGCCTACAGTAGATGCTCAAAAACTATTTGATGAACATGAGTGAAGGAAAGGGATGACTTCATTGATAAAGAAACTAAGGCTACACATGAGATGGGATTTACCCAAGGTCAGAGGTACAGCTCAGATCAGAACCCAGATTGTTCGATACCCGGCCAGGTCCCTTTTAAACAGAGTTGGTTTGCTGCTTTCCAAAAGCATGGCAACTGGGTCCAGAGGGGCCTCCCAATACCTCTGGGTATAAGTTAGAGAGAGCCCATGGGATGCATGATGCCTTAATTAAAGACAGTTTTGCTTCCTCTCTTAATTGGCTCAAGCAATGGTTCATTAGCGCTGGCAGGTTTTATGGCTTGCTGCAGGCCTGAGAGCAATGCCTCTCCACCTTCCCTGGACAGAGCACACTGTTCGCGGTAATGGTGGTGGAAAGACCATTTGCTTTATGTTAACATTTCTGTTTAATTACAAGAGTGGCAGTGGTCAGAAAGAGGTCAATGCTGTCCACTCTACAGACTTATTTATGTCATCATCTGCTGTCCAGGGGTGGCAAGTGGGAAAGAAGTCTGTGACCTTGACCAAAATGTCTCCCCTCTCTGGGCTTCCGATGGCCACTGGGGTGGTGATGGGGAACTAGACGCTTTCTGTATGTCTTCAAGCTCCAGATTGTCTGATTTGGGGATTTAAGGGTAAAAGAGCTCCAACCCTCAGAAATGGTTCTCTATTGAAGTTTAAACCCCCAACGTTTTCCTAGTGAGAATATAAGAGCTGGAGCAAATCTCTAACCACAGGCATTAATCCTGTTGCTAAAACAGCTCTGAGTTGCAACATAGAGTCCATAGAGTCTATCAATCATGAGAATTCACTACTAAAGATTTGGAGAAGGTGAAAAATAATAATAAAGACTCAGGATTGAGGGCTTCAAGGTGCCTTAGAGGTGCTCTAGGCCAGCCCTGCCTGACTACAGCAGCGTGTCCCATCCTGGAGGGACTTGCCTAGGCATTGTAGGGGAGAAAGGAGTTTGGAGTTTGAGGGAGTTTGGGAAACACAGAGTTAAGCAAAATTAAATGTGTTCTTTCACAATAAGATCTTTCAGTTCTGAATATGCTAATCAATAGGAATCTCAAGAGGGGAACATAGTACCCAGTGTTTCCCAAAGATGAGTCAAGGAACCCTTTTCCTATAGAGCTTGTTTCCCCCTACACCCTCCCCTAGCCCTCAGTGGTATTAAACTCATTTTGGAAAATACCACTCCAAGAATTCTGCTTGCCCACCCAGTGCCGTGTCGAGCACTCATACACTTACCTCATTTAATCCCCACACAAGTTTGCGAAGGAGGGTGTTCACTGAGATTTCTCTGCTTGCAAATAATGAAAATCTACTCCAGCTAGCTTGAGGACCGAAGGAAAGGTGGGAGAGTGGGAGGGAGGAGCAAAGCAAACAAGGAAGGGATTTGGGGAGGGAGGGAAGGAAAGTTGTCAGAATTCTAGGGCAGTGAACAGCACCGGACCTCAGAGGAACTCATCACATTGCTGGAAACAGGTTGGAACACAGACCGCCAGGTCGCCACCTCTCTCCTGCTCTCTTTCCCTCCTAACAGCCCCTCAGGATGTGCAGTCTCTCAAGCCTCAGGGAAGTGAAATAATCTGCCTTAGGTCGTGTAGCCTGTGAGGAGCAGCCCGGGAAGCAGGCCTACCCCAGACATGCCAGACCCTGCGTGAAGAATGAGACACAGGCCTGCCCTCACGGCCAGGGACCTGCTGCTCCTCCTGCCCACCCCCCTCCCCCCATTCCTTCTTCTACATTAAAGAGACCTGTATTCCAATCTAGGAAGGAAAGGCAGGAGATTTCCCAGGTTTAATCACGCAGAACTTGTATTTAATAAGACAAGTACCTATACTCTGGAATTTATAGTAAAATAGCATTTAAGCACATCTGATGGCCTCTGCAGCATGACAGATCATGCTTTTTGTGTGGAAGGCAGGAGCATTTGCTAACCTGACTCCCGGGTCTGCGCCTGGACCCTGGCCTCCGGGAGGAGTCAGGAGGGCCTTGGCTGGTTACAGGCGCACCAGCATGCTCCCCGAGAGCCCGCGGCATGCCTGAGATGACATCACAGTGGGCCGCAATGATGCTATGACGTGGGATAGTGATGCCGGGTAGCTGCACGCTCCCCGGGAGCCCGCGGCAGGCGTGAGATGATGTCACAGTGGACCGCAATGATGCTATGGCATGGGATAGTGACGCGGGGCAGCTGCACGCTCTGCCTCACTCACTCCACCCCAACTACGCGGGCCTCTTTTCAGCTCAGTCTGAGGCTTAATGCCAACTCAGGCCTCTCTGGGCACTGGCAGCACCCTTGCCTAGCCCTTGCCCCAGTTGGTAATCGTGCGGGTATTCATGTGACTGTTTAAGGACAACCTCCATCTCTAGACAGCAGACTCCATGAAGTCAGGACGTTGTCCACCTCTGTCCCCAAAGCCCAGCAGAGTGCCCAGCACGGAATGGGCCTCTGATCGGTATTTTCGGGGGGGGGGATAAATAAACTCGGCAGCGGGGTTTAGTAACAGTGCCGTGGCTCGGAGCTATAGTCTCTGGTGTGGAGGAGCTCTGGCCGCATGCCTCCCCTCCCAACACTTTACTCGCACCTACACGGCCTCCTAAGCCTGCTTGTCTCCATCTTACCCTGGTGTGGCATGGCTACCACGATTGGCTGCCACTATGATTTAGCAGACTCTGGGTGCACAGCCACATGTTGTTACTGTGTGGACATTACACGTTTAAAGTCACTTACAAACCACATTTGATCTTTACAACAACTCTTTGAGAAAGGAAAGTCAGTTTTTATTATATTATTTTGAGCAAGGGGGAAACTGAGGCTGTGAAGGTGAAGTGCCGGGTTCGAAGTCACATGGTATATCCAGGGACTCTCCGCATCCCCAGACACGGCCTTTGTCTCACAAGCTGGAGCTGGAAGCAGAGAACGGCACTCTAGCGTTCCCCACCTTCCTGAGCTTTCTTGTCCTTGGGCGAGACACTCCTCTCCCCTGGCCTCAGTTTCCCTCCTCCCCTCTTGGAAGAGGAAAATGAGGTGGAAGTCATCTTCTGCCATTTAGTAGTAGCACTGGGGAGAGGCTCTATCAAAATGGTATGGCTACACCATGGATGAACTTGCCGACATTATACCATGTGAACTAAGCCAGTCACAAAAAGACAAATGCTGTATGATTCCACTTATATGAAGTACTTAGAATGGTCAAAATCACAGAAAGTAGAATGATGGTTACCAAGGGCTAAAGGGAAGGGGGAATGGGAAGTCACAGTTTAGTGGGTACAGAGTTTCAGGTTGACAAGATAAAAAGGGTTTTGGAGATGGACAGTGGTGATGATAGCATGGCATTAGGAATGTACATAATACCACTGAACTGTACACTTAGAAATGATTAAGATGGTAAATTGTATGTTATGTGTATTCTACCACAATAAAAAAATAATAAGAATGGTACCCCACTGATGCCATGTGAGCATCTTCGGAGGGTTCTGGGGGATCTGCGGCCTAGAGGTCTTGAGGGTTGAATCCTGTAACTCCAGGTATTACAGAGCCAAGAAGCTGCAAGGCAGCTCCCAGTTGGAAGGCCACTGGGGGTCAGGGGTGATGGGCTGAGTTGGTCTACAGTCGCGTCAGTGGGTTGGCAGTTCTCAGTGTCCTGCATCAGACGTGGCTGCCCATAC